CTGAAGCTACTCTTCGGGGTTGACCAGACCAAAAACGGTACAACCGCCCGAAGGCAGTGGTACAACCGTTGGCATCAACCTGAGAGCAGCAACCCGAGGGTATCACCCCTGGGGCAGTAGTTGCACTGGACGTACCGGCCAAGCGGTACAACCGCCCGGCCAGCGGTATAACCGCTTGGGAGTAGAAACCACTGCCTTCGTAAGAATTGAGGACCTCTATCTGTACGAACGGAAGGATATGTGGTGGGTGAATAAGGAATACGTGCGTGCATTGATTCACCCAATACTTTTTGATGTGGATTCCCTCCTAATAGTACGTGTTTCCTACGACCAAAGAAATAAACACATAGAGAACACCGTCTTCGTTCTTTTCCATCCGGAGGGAATGCCTAAACGTCTTGTACCAAACAGAGTGTACCTGCAAACTTGGCACAGGATTAGACCACAAGTTAAGTTGTCATCATCTCCAAAACACAAAGGCGGGAAATCCCCTGACATCATGTCTATAACGAGCATAGCAAGTTTATCGAGCTTGCTCATGAGTTCCATGAGTATATCTAGAGTTTAAACAAGAGCTTGTTAAGTTAACAAGCCGAGCTAATGTTGATAAAATATAACAGCCCCTATAAAACATCATTTTGACAACATTCGACCGTCCAATGGGTCGAGCCGGACCAAACTCGCCTTGTCCTAAATTCTGGCCCTACTTCATTTGATTTGGAGAAAGGCCGAGGGGTATCCGCTCTTTTCGAAATAAAGATGATTTGAAGAAGTATTTCGCCTCCCTTGAGACGGAACAAAACTCTGACTTGTTTTTTCTTTTCTTTTCTTTCCGAGAAACTGGGTGACTTGTAAATGTGGGTTACCTTTTCAATGGGGAACGCCGCTTGTCGGCAATGAGAGGTCCGTAGTGATTTCATCGATGTTGAAACTTCGCGGCTCTATTCATCGCCAAATTATATGTGTGCGAATAACTCGAACATATAAGGCGAACCAACCATTTCAGTGGGAGGAGACGTTCCTGTCGACGATGAAGTGTCTAGGGTTACTTCATAAATCTTAAGATGATATGCCGGCTCAGTCTCTATGTATGAGCGATTTGCGTCTGTATTGTGTTAAAAAAAACTCGAACAGACAAGGAAAAAAGAATACGCCCTTGCCCATTCCGCTGTCCGGGAAAGAGAGAAAGAAAGAGGTTACCTTTCCGAAACTTCACCGTCACGTCCCCGGTCAGAGTCAGAGGTCCTAGGACCGGACCGAGAATAAAATAATCCAACGGCCAGTCCAGAGAGAGATGAGTGTGTGCTGGCGGTCGTGGAATGGAACGAGACCGTGTCAGTGCGGCAGTGGAGGCGTGGCAGGCAGCTCGTGCGAGAGGGCCAGTGAACAGAACGGCCGGCCGGTGCCCATCTTTCTCCTTTCCCCGCTGCCGCCCTGCCTTTTTCTGCCCGGTCCTGCGGCGACTCACGTGAAGGGTGAATCGATGGCCAACCGGCCGTCCACGCCGCCCATCAGCACTAGCGCACTGCCAACAGGAGTAGTAGCTGAGCTCCGTAGCCAAGCCGAGCACTTTCTCGTGCTCGTCCCGGACCCGGCCGTCTCCTCGTGCTCCTCGTTCGCCTCCCGATCCGTTGCATGTCGCATCCCGATCCATTGCAGATCGGGGTGGCAGCAGCAGCAGCGCGCATCGTTCATCGAGGGCCTTCTCCCGTGGCGATTAGTGTGCTCGCTCGCACGCACGTAGCGACCGATCCTTGGAGGAACGCCGAGCACTGGCCACCCGGCAGGACGGGAGCACGTACGTGCGTGCGTGCATACGGTCGATCTGGACAGCTCGCACGACGGAAAGAAAAGACCAAACTTCGTGCCTACGATGGAGTACCGTGTAAGGCTCGTTTTTGGATGTACTGTCAAAACCGGTCTTCCCTACTTCTCACACGACTGAAAATAGTAAATATAAGCTTGCCACAAGGGAAGTAAACTAACAATTGCTATTTTTAATTCGCATGCAATACAATTTTAAAATAAAAATAGTGTTTTCTTTGAGCTTATTCCTTCTCGTAAGAGCATCTATAGCCGACACGACAAACCCGAATCGAACGCTCGGACAGACGGCTCGATCAGTGACCGGCCACAATAAAGCGACCCCATAGGCGTCTCAAACGCTTGGGCTGACCGGCATCCCTCATAACCCAACAGCTCTATCACACAACAAATTGCACCAAATCCACCGTCGACCTACATGATCCATTTGTTTTGTCATCTCTCTTTTCACATCCACAACAAACGTCTCGCAGCTCCGCCACCACCCTTGCTCCGTAGCCGTTTTGAGCCTCTGCGCCGCCGGCACCGGCACAATAGTCCTCTCTCCCATGCTCGCCGTCGGGGACGTCGTCGCCAACCCAGACCACCCCATACGTTTGGCAGCTTTGGGGCCACCCCTTGCGCTCTATTTGTTCGACACATTGTCCGACTTGTTTTCTATGATTTATTTGTAGGGAAAACAATGAATTCCAATGCTTCGTCAGACGAGAAGTATGGACCCACGGAGCTTGATCAAATTATTCAAGATGAGTTCTTTGATTCGTCGGATTCAAACAAAGAAGTGGACATGATCATGCTCATGAGCATGCAAGAGGAAATCGACCGGCAGGTGGAGCATATTCTCAACTTCAAGGGCTCAATCAAAAGGAGAAAAGTGATCAATCGGGATAGTTCTCCGCAGCACTGCTACTACACAAGGACTACTTTACTCCGAACCAAACTTTTCCGGATGATGCATGGTTTCGTCGCCGTTTTCACATGCGAAAAACATTATTTTTGTGCATTGTGAAGGGAGTGGAGGCACACGATGACTACTTCAAGCTCACAAGGGATTGTTGCGGCCAACTCTCTTTCTGTGCTAAGGAGAAATGCATAGCTACTCTGGGGATGCTTGCACTTGGTACTGACGCATATGTCGTTGGTGAGATGGTTCGGATGGGGGAGAGCACGTGCGTGAAGACTACTGTCAAGTTTGCCTACGCCATGATGTAGGTGTCTGGAGCAGAGTATCTGAGAGACCAAATGTGCAGGACATAGAGAAGTTGTTGGCTATTGGAGATGCCAGATGGTTTCCAGGAATGTTCGGATCAATTGATTGTATGCATTGCCAAGGAAAGAACTGCCCCAAAGTTTTGCAGGGAATGTATGAAGGTCACAGCTAAGAGGCCACCATCATATTGGAAGTAGTGGCATCACATGACTTATGGATTTTCCATGCTTTCTTCGGAGGCTTTGTAATGGGGAATCACCGCCATGCCACTACACTATCACCGACCGTGACTACAACATGGGATACTAACTTGCCGATCATCTATCCTAAGTGGGCGACATTTGTCAAGACCATATCCGAACCACACGAAAAGAAACAAAGCCACTTTGCAACAATGCATGAATCGGCTAGGAAGGATGTGGAGAGGACACTCGGAGTGCTTCAAACTCGTTGGAGAATTGTTCATGGAGCTGCAATGATGTGAAAATCAGAAACTTTATGGCAGCTCATGATATGTTGTGTTTTTTTGCACAATATGATTTACGAGGACGAGGGTGATGATGTTGCATAAACCAATAATTTTGAAGTGCCTGGAGAACAAGTTCAAATTCTGAAAGATCAAGATGCAAATCGGTTTATGAACTTTCTATAGATGCATCAGAATATTCGAGATCATCAGGTGCACGCGCAGCTACTCACCGATCTCGTGGAGCATGTGGACCCATAATGGAAACCAAAGAACTAATATTTGAGTTGTGCACTTAAAATGAATTTCATATAAGAACTATGTACTTTCATTACCAACAATTGTTATTTATGTGCAACATTGGTGTGCATGATGGGCGTGCATGGATTTGCATGTATTCGATAGTCCGCATTTAAGATATGTGGATGTCGGGCACGAGATAAGAGGGTCTATCCGGATACCTATGATGCGCCCGAGCGCGTTTGCGGACATATAAGGGGATGGATTTGCCAAGGCGACTGTAGATGCTCTAACCTCTCTCCTACATATGGCCCCTTTATCTCCATTTAGATTCCCCCGCCCCTACATATTTCCTCCCAAAAACGACATTAACCGTCTTAAGCAGATAAGGTTTGGTTTTGTTGGCACACAAAATCCATATTTTCACATGGTTACATTAACTCGCTGAAATATTTATGATTCCATTGCAGCACACGAAAGTGTAAAAACACAAATTAGTTGTGCAGATCTTAATCGAAGGTCTACTATCACTGACTTGGACTGTATAATTCATGAGACCAATTGCATTAACTCTACTCTAACTAATTAGAAATGAAGATATTACATCATAACCTCGTAGTATAGATTTTTCTGCTTATAGATTTCCATTCCATTGTAATGATGCTCTGGAAACGGAGATACATGCTTTGATGCAGGGAATGGCCTTGACCATGCAACATACCGAGCTTCCAGTTATCGTGCAGTCGAATTCTTCTGCGGCCCTATCTTGCCTTGAAGATCAAATCCTTAAGAGAGAACAGAAGGCCCACATGTAGTGATGAATTTCTGCCTCGTGACTGTAAATTTATAATCTTAAAATAAAACTCTTTTACCCCGCAATAAAAGAAAGAGAGATGAATGTGTTAGTACTAAAGGAAAAACAAAAAGAAACACTTGATTTATTTTTTAAGAAAAAAACTTGATTTAAATAAAAGGTAGGAGAGGGAAAGAGAAGGGGGGAGGGCCCGGGCGAGGCGGAACGGAACGCTCGGAAATATAAAAACAGCCAGCCCGGCGTGCAGGCAGCCGGAAGCAAACAACGCAGAAACGCCCCCGGCTGCACAGCCGCCCGCCCACCTCTATCCAGTCCAGAAACGCACACTCCCACGCGCAGCCAGCGGAGCAGAGCAGAGCACTGACTTCACCGCCGCAGCGGCTCACCCGAGGAGGAGGCGCCGCCGGCGGCTGGAGGAGCGAGCGAGCGAGCCACCCGATCCGACCATGACCAAGTCCAAGAACGGCTGCCTCAAGATCCTCTGCGGCGGCGCCGGATCCGACGCCACCGCCGGCTCCGACCCCGAGACCGACGTCCACGCCGACGAGGTGGGTGCCCCCCTGCCCGTCGCACGCCGAATGCGGCGTCCCCGCGTGCTCCCGGCCGCAGTGTATCCGTGCCGTTCCTGCTCGTTCGTCCAAGCTGCTTGCTTTTTTTCTTCTTCCCCTTTCTTTTGGGCGGGTTCGAGCTGGCGGTGCGCTTGTTTCCGGCAGATCTCCGCCCATCTCGCCGGGCGGAGGCGGGTGTAGGTAGATCCGGCGCCGGTCCGCGGCGGGGAGCCGAAACGGCCACCAATTTGGGTGATTCCCCCAGCGCTCGGCTCGTGGGCGTGAAATTTCGATTTCAAAACTGGGCTGTGGAGCTGCCACAAGTCCCCTCAGCATGAGCGCATGGTTAAATTTGCTGCACGCACATGAATTTACAAATTTCCCTCTTTTTAAGCCTGTTTTCTTTCCATTTTCTGCCGAGTGGCTCTAGCTTAGGAGGTCGCTGTTTGTGTCGTCTCGATCCCATGCAGCATGGGATCTGGTGGCCTAGCGCCATGATGCCATGCCACTGTGCATACCTCTTGGCCCGGTGCGTCCCGTCCTTCTCCTCCCCATCCCCGGGGTTGGATTTTGCTAACCCTTGTCCCCCCACCCCCTGATTTGACATTTTTTGTTCTAAAAACTTTTGGCCACTTTCTTTCCCCCACTGTGAGAATCATGGATTCAGGAGGACATACATGGCTTTGCTCTGGACCGCAAGTCCCGCCGAGCAGCTCGGCTGGTGAGGATCTCGGATTAAATCCACGTGCTATTCCGGAAAATTCGCGTATCAGCGGGAATTCTGCGCCCCATGTGGTGAAATGGGATCTCTAGTTTTGGGTGTTCATATGACAGCCTAGAGGTGCTGTCGTCGTTGAATTATGCGACAATTTGTTTTTCCCCCTATTTACAAACTTCATACAGATTCAGCTTGGTTTGGATAAGATTAGAAATGAACTGATGGATAGCTGCTAGTGGTACCACTATCAAACTATAGTTAAGAAGTTTACCAAGAAACAGACACATTAATAAACGAAAGGATACGTTTATAATAGAAAGCAATTAGTGTGCTGTTTTGTTCAAATTTCTGATGGTGACTGAAGAAGAATTTGCTTGCTTTTTGTGCCCTTTTACCTCCTAATATCTGAATTTTACTTCACTAGCTGAGAAGTATTTCCTGCTTTCAAGGTTCGCTCGATTCACTGTTGTCACTTCTTATTTTTGTAGTGCGCTGTCATTTTTGTCATGTGGAAGTTCTGACAAGGATTCTGTTTCCCTCTTCCTTATATCAAGTACACAATTTTTTTCATACTAATGGCTGATGTACATCTTGGTTTTTCCAGAGCAAGGCCATATCAGATAAAAGCAGATGGAGCTTTCGGAGGAGGTCTACAAGGCACCGAGTTCTCAAGAACTCTGATATATCCGAGCCTGAAACTCTAAGTTCGAGCAAAGCAAAAGCTGATGTTGCTCCAAGCAACAATGTCTACTCTTCAACATACTCTTATGCCTCAGAGAAGCCCCTGCATCTAGAGAAGCCAGACGAGAAGATTGTGCTTCAAGAGAAGCCAGATGAGAAGTCCCTACTCGAAGAGAAGCCCGATGAAAAGCAGACAGAGAAGACAACTGAAAAGCCAGTGGACCAGATAATTGAAAGGTCAATTGAACAGCCAGATGAAAAGATAACCGAGACGCCGAGTGAAGAGCCAGCTGAAAGGATATCTGAAAAACCAGTTGAAGAGCCAGCTGAAAAGGATGTCGAGGAACTTGATGAAAAGCCAGACGAAAGCTTCTCTGTTTCGCCAACTGAGGTGAAGCAGGATGAAACTGCCTCACTTGTTGATAGAAGCGTTCCAGACCCAGAGGAAGATCATGTGGAGTCTGCTGCTATTGTCATTCAGTCTGGCATCAGAACATACAACGTATGTTATACTATTTTGGCACCTATTATTATGTCACTACAATATTTTCCTGTTAAATGTTACTACAGTACTAAGCGTTTACATGACTGCAGGCAAGGCAAGAGCTATCGAATCATAAGGATCTTGTGAAACTGCAAGCTGTGATACGCGGGCATCTAGTTAGGCGGCAGGCTGCAGAATCTTTACAATGCTTGCTTGCCATTGTTAAAACTCAAGGGCTTGTCCGGACTCATCAAGCACAACAATCTTCAGGAAGGTTTCAGGTGAGTAAAGCATTCTTATTTAATATATTTTCATTTATAACATACTGTATTTATTATCACCCACATTGCTTCTGGGAGGAAACATCATGGCATCAACTTTACTCAATAGAATTTACCTTTACAAAGTCCTTTAGCTAGCAACCAGGTCTGTCTATTTATTGCTTGTGTCATGAAATCTAAACTTTCCATCCAAATTGTGATATCTGTCAACTTGCGAAATTCCATGCTTTGCATAGTCATTACCTTCCGTGTCGATTCTATTCCTCTATGCCAAATGTGCAAGATGATCCTAATCTTTTGTGTTATTATGCTGAGCAGCACCCTTGGATAGGCATTTTTCCGACCATATTTTGCTTATTAATAATGGACTTCCTTTTTTTTACAGGATACTTTGGTCCGTTCTTCAAGTGAGAAATTGCTTCACAATGGATTTGCTCTCAAGGTGAGACAAAATAACTGTTACCACTACTGGTGTCATCTCACTATCTCTAGTTTGGATTTCCTCATGCTCACACCGTGTTATTTTCTGCCAGCTCATGGACAACATGTCAACTTCCAAATCCATGAACATAAGATGTGATGCTTCTGAAACTGATGCTACCTGGAAATGGATGGAGAGGTGGACAACTCTGATTCTGCCAACCACTGAAGGCCACTTGCTTGAGAATGCAGAAAATAGTGGGTTGGTAGTTGAAAAGATGGAAGAGGATGCTCACCGTGAAGAAAAGGTTGTTCCTTTGGACTCAGACATTTCTTTCCCCAAGTTAGTGCCTGATGATGTGGAGGAGACACTAAGGCCTTCTGAATCTAGTGCCTTTGTGGAAGAGACACCAAGGTCATTTGATTTGAGTGGATTGGAGGCTCCTGAATGTGTCCCAGAGGAAACCTCTATGTTGGAAACCAAAGGTGATCCTGCACCAGAGTTGATCGAAAAGGTCGATGACGATGCTGAACAGTTGACCGATTCAAAGACAGAGAATGTTGTGGAGCAGTCTTTGGACTTCTCTGGCCGGCAATCTACCCAAACTGGTCCATCAAGGGAACCCAGTCCTGTTCCTGAAAAATCTGAACACCCCAGTGAGGATACTATGGATGCATATAATCTTGAGCAGTCACCGGAGATGGAAGCTAGAAGCGCAGCAAGAAAGGCCTGCAATCCAGCATTTGCTGCTGCACAGATGAAATTCGAAGAGCTGACTTCGGCAGTCAGTAGGTCCAACAGTTCATCTTTTCTGGATGCGCCAAGCAAATCGAAGGTGCATACTCCCCGTTCACTGGGCGGTACCTCACCCAAGCAAAATATTGAAACAGTCGCACCAGGAAGCACAGTTGGCCATGATGCTAAAATCATACCTGCTGCTTCAGAATGTGGGACTGAGATTTCAATTTCATCTACACTTGACTCACCAGATAGATCAGAAGCTGATGGCGGTGAGATTGTAATGGAGATGGGAGCTCTTGGAGGTCGGGACTATGCCAGCGAGAATGCCGAGAAAGATACCCATGTTTTACATTCTGAAGTGAAGGACACCTCCGAAGAAGTCGTCCAGCCAGAGAAAGAGGAAGAACTGAATGGTGATGTTGCTAACCCTCCCATTGCCACAGATCCTGTCCTTGAGCAAGCACATGTTGAATCAGGAAAGCCAGATTTGCATGACCAAATAGAGGAGTCTATAGGATCATATGCCAAGTCACCTGAGGGAACTCCCATGAGCCGAACCACTTTTGTGGAATCTCAATGCACACCATCAAGTGAGGTCTCTGTTAATACCAACAAGAGCAAGAGCAAGAGCAAAAAATCAAAGTCTCATGCAAGCAGAAGGTCGCTGACTAGTCCAAGCAGCAATTCAGTCGGACGAAGCAGCACAGATAATCTGTCAAAGGATTATAAGCATGCGAAGAGAGAGAGCTCAGGCAAGGTTGCCAAGTCTGACAACGCTGATCAAGAACCTCGCATGAGCAACAGCACTCCATTGCCAAGTTACATGCAGTTCACAGAATCTGCAAGAGCAAAGGCGGCCGCTCTATCCCCAAAGTTAAGCCCAGATGTGCAAGACAACAACCCGAGGAAGAGGCATTCTTTGCCCATAACAAACGGCAAAAATGAAACATCTCCTCGCATGCAACGGTCATCTTCCCAAGCCCAGCAAAATGTGAAGAGCAGCGTTGCTGTTCCTCACACTCCATCTGGTAAGTGCTATAACCTTCAATAGGCCTTACACTCATGGTATGCATTTCTGTTTGAAAGGTTTTGATCATTGTGAAGACATTTATTAATGTCTGTTCCACATACGCACAGTAATGTATTGTAGGAGTAGTTATTTTTCAGCAGTGTACGTCTGTCTTAAGGATCTTTTTATGTGCACAGATAAGAGGTGGAATATATGATGTATGGCAGCACATCGACGAGGTGCCATCAAATATCTAGAAGCACTCATCTCGCGCCCTTGTTTTCTCGTCGCAGGCCCTCTAATTCGTCAGTTGTTTCTTAATATTTTTTTCTTGGAATGCTGATGGAGAAGAGCAGCAGCTTCATCATATATGTACATTTGTTGGTTGATCTTATTGGTTGTGTTATTTGACTGATAGTGCTATTTCTTTTGTGTGTAATACATATCCTACTTGACTTGTATTGGAACGAGCAACAGCAGTGTGGATTTGAAAAATGATGATCTGTTATATTTGTTGCCGGTTGCCACTGATGTCGAATGAAGTTCATGTTGGTTTGGATCAAGTTTCTGTTTGTCAAATTCTGTGTATTTCTGTATGTTCAGGACTGCATCCAAAATGCAAAAATGTCCTGTAGTTAATGATAATGCGCAACTGCGTTTATCAAATGTCGCAATGGCAACGAGATCTTTAAAGAAGTTTCCTATTTTGCCTAGATTTATTCAGAGTTTTTACCAACTTGCACACTCCAAAATATGTTTATGCAATTGGTATGAGTTGATTATGAGATTTACAAAGTACATACGGGGTAAACCCTAAACAATTACTGGTTGATTAATTTATTCAAAAATTACCGTTGACTATTAAGCCCTTAAATTATAACTTGTTTGCAATCATCATTTCATATGTACCGTATGTACTTCCTCTGTAAACAAACGTAAGACGTTTTAGGTCACGGAACGAGTACTATTTCTCAATGATCTGTCATTATCTCTTTCTCTTATTAAGACTACATGTGTCATGCTGCTATTTCCCCATATAATAAAATTGGGTTTTCAAAAATAGTTTTTAAATAAAATACAGTTAATATGTTTTTTCAAGCCGGCATATCATCTTAAATCTTGAAATTTACTAAGTCATTGTAGGCACCTCGGACTTGAACCTTGATGGACTGGAGATACCACAATCCCTCTAACCATTCAACCATAAACTGGTTCGCATACAGTTAATATGTATGTCATGTTACTACTTTACACATGGAGAATTAATCGAGTGGGAGTTCTACAATGCAAGTACTATAAAACTACCAATCAATTAATTCTCACACAATACAATAAAAATAAGTGGACTAATTCTCTCCTCTTTTACCTCTTTGTTTCCTTTATAATGTATTTTTTCCCATAATTCCTTTGTTATTTTTTTGAGGATTTTTGAAAATTTCCTCCGTAGTATCGCAACATAACCAGCGACATACCTATCGACTACGAAGGCGTCTGTGTCGACTTCGTCGATCTCAAAATGGTGTCCCGGCTTAGTCTCTCGAAGACGCTCACAGGGATAGGGTTTGCGCATATGTGTTCATAGAGATGAGTGTATGTATGTATGTTTGTGTCTGTACTGTGTTAAAAAAACCCAACAACATTGCCTTACCAATGTTTTTTGTGGTACGGTACCGCTCTGCCTTTAGCGTTACGACATTGCTTTACATTTTTTTTTGAGAACCAGACATTGCTTTACATGGGCCCTTAATATTTGCACGGGCCAGCAAAGCAAGGCCCTCATTTGATTGAGCTCGGGGCCTGCTCCTGATGCGAGCCCATTGTCCTGACGTCTGCTGACCTCCATCATTCAGATTGTCTCAAAAAAAAAAACCTCCATCATTCAGAATTCTCTCTCTCAAAGAAGGAAAAAACCTCCATCAATCAGAAGGGGAAAAAAGGATCAACCCAGTCTGTTGGCCGGTCGCTCGCCGTCATTTCGCCTTCCGGTCGCCCCGCCGCCCCCTCCGGCCGTCCAGCGTCCGCGCTCGCTTCCTTCGCCTCTCGTCTCACCGCCGCTCCTGCGATGTGGTAAAGGCTCCCGCCCTCCTATCATCTCACCAACGCTGCTGACCATTTGATTTCCTAACCCTACCCCTTTTGGTTTAGGGCTTAGGTTTCGCGTTCCTTTTGATAACTAGCTTTCGGTTCGTAGCTCATGCGAGAGACGATGGAGGAATGGTAGGGGATTGAAGTATTTTATTTACCACTTGATTCGCATATGCCGTGTCGTCTGCAAGTTCAATCACACTTGGGAGGGGATTAACCGAACATGGCCTGGGTAAAACTTTGATGTATTTGGGCGTTTTTTGGTCAGTCGCCACATTGCCGAGTAAAATTGATAGCTGCCCTGTTAACTGCAGATCGTGCGTCGTCAGCGATGGCAATGCCAGCACCGTGTGCTGCACAGGGTAGTCAAGCCGAGCCCACTGTTGTCGGTGCCGGTGCCGCTGCCGCTGTCTTGCCTGAAGACGTGCTGCGTGACATCCTCCTGCGCCTGCCGGCAAGGACGCTCTGCCGCTTCCGAGCCGTGTGCCGATCCTGGAGGTCCTTCCTGTCCGACCCGCTCTTCATCGCAGCGCACAAGTCAAAGCACCCTGGGCCGCTCATTGTCACATGCATCCGTGATCTGCTCGGAGACGGAGGAGGGACCGTGAACATAATGGATTTGTCTGGCCATGTCGTCAGGCGGATGACCACCAGCATAGAGAATGCCACATTGCTGTGCACACGCCTGGACCTCATCCGTGTCACCGGAAAGAAGAACTGCCACACGAGCGGTCACGTAATTGACCCGGCCACAGGGCACACTCTGGCTTTGCTACCAATATTTGGCTTGCCAAATGTTGGCATTGTCAACTATTGTCAACTTTACGTGAGATAGGCAAAATAACTCGTAGCCAACCAAGTAGTTGCCAATATTTGGCACAATGCCAAACGTTGGCATGCCAATTTTTGGCAGCAAACCAATTATGCTCGATGTCACTGGTAGGCAATCTATGCATCAAATAGGGACCGCCGCCGAATAGGGGGAGCAACTAACTAAGGAGTGCCCCTTCGGGAGCCTCCCCTAGGGTCATTTGGGGTGGGCTGAGAGCGCGCCACTTGGCGCGCTCTCAGACGTCGCCACGTGTCGCACTCTGGGCGCTCTCTTCAGATTCTTTTTATATTTTTCCACACGCATTTTTGGCCTTTTAGATGGTTTTTTTTCGGGTTTTCACCAGTCTTTCTTAGCTTTCGGGCATATTTTTTGATTTTTTGCATGAAAAAACATCTTCCTTTTTTGCTTTTGCGAGAGGCACGGTTTTGCTTCCTCAAGATGCATGGATTTGCTTCCACGAGAGACATGGCCATGTCTCTCGGCAACGAAACAAAAACCGCGAGAGGCACGGCCATGCTCTTGATTTGATTTTTCCGTCCGGTTTTGGTATTGTAGTAGGGCCTTTCATTGTACCCCCATGTTTGTCTGTCTTTGGTTCTGTTTGACACAACGTACTTAAACGAGAAGGTACACTGACCAATAGCGGGCAGTGATCTTCCTCCACTTCAGCATTTTGGCATTAATGGTTCACACTTGGTTTGCATGAGGTCTGACGCCTTCTTTTGTTCTTGCAGGCTAAACATTGTACAACATGCGGGTGCTACTTTATCCCCGAAGCCGACCAACATTGCGAAGAGTGTATGTGGCATCTGTATTGGCTGTCGGTGGATCCTCATTCAGAGTACCACAAATCACGAATGCCACTAAGCTTGAGTGTTGAGTAGGCCGCTCTTTCCCATCAAATATAAGTAGTTCTCAATTTCAGACTATTTCAGCCACAGGGGGGTTTGGTGTCCACTTTTTAGAGGTCATGTATGGTTTGAGATGTATTCGGTGTACACTGGGCGTGGCAATGCCTTGGTTTGTACTGTAAGCAAAATGCATGTTGCCAGACTAAATATTTCGTGCTTCGGTATTATTTTGTTGCCAGACTAAATATTTTGGCGCTCTATATGCTTTGTTGCAACGTGACTTTCTTTTTTGCCAACATCAGTTTTGGCGGGTCCTCTTGTGGTTTGGACCAACTGTGTTGTCTTATGCAGTGACCTGCTTGGTTTAGGGGGTGTTTGTTTATAGGGACTTTTTTGTGTATGGACTAGAAAAAGTCCCTCTTAGAGACTTTTTTATCAAACGGGAGAGACTTTTTAGGGACTAAACTAGGCATTTGGGACTAAATGAAGAAGATTCTCAAGGAGAGTCTTTTTGGGACTTTTGGGGACTTTTCCAACAATGCCCCTCCATGCATCCATTGGCCCGCCACCCCATGGTGTTGTTTGATTGTTATTTTTCTATATACTATGGACAACATGGTCATTTAATAACCTCTAGGAAGGGACTAGGGTCTTTTTAGTCTCTGGAAACAAACAGGAAGGGACTTTTTAGGGACTAGGGACTTTTTAGTTGGGACTAGAAAAAGTCCTAGGACTAGAGAACCAAACACCACCTTAATTGAATCTCAGTATAGTGGTTGATTCACATTATTTTTGTTAGTTTTACTAGGCTTATTCACGATGTGTTGACGATCATTTTCCATTACTAATAAGATGTCTGTGCGTTGCACGGAACATCAAGACGCGTTTATATGAGTAGTTTATTTTACAAAACATCTGTTGTGATTGACCCATGAGGGAGTAATTTCATGTGTAAAAACTACCAATATTCTTTTATAAAATATTCAGTTCTGCTCCCAAACAAAATTGCATATCATATGGTTCTAGTTGTGTGTAAAACTTCATGAAGAAATAACATTCGTGATGATTTGCACAAAATAAAAAAAATCGTGACCGTAGAAGCTTTATGAAAGTATCGGGGTTTTCTTTGTCCATATAGACCATCATTAATGCTATTCGTTTCATGAAATGTTGCACACAACTATAACACTCCAACATGTTTATTGCAATTTTTTTTAAAAAGGATTGTGTTTAAGCCGCCATAATATGAACTGGCAATGGAACTTTTACAGATCGCTAACAATGAGGTTCTCTGCCAGTAGTACAATCCACACAGTATAGTTCACCCAAAATCCCTAC